GATAGTGGGGAGGAGGGAAGCATTAAAGAACTAGAGCAGCGGTTTTCAACCTGTGGGTTGCGACCGCTTTGGGGGTCAAACGACCCTTTCATAGGGATTGCTGGATTCATAACAGTAGCAAACTTAAAGTTATGAAGTAGCAACAAAAATAATTGTATGGTTGGGGGTGGTCACCACAACCTGAGGCACTGTATTAAAGGGTCCCGCTATTAGGAAGGCTGAGAACCACTGAACTAGAGGAAACGTGTGTTTCATAGGCCTTGCACTGCATCCTGACTGGGTCATCTCTTCTATGTGATCCTTCTGTGAGGGGATGTGCAATTGTCTATAGATGGACTTTGGGTCTCCAATTGAGCTCCCCCTCATTCACATGGATAAGGTTTTTTGTCTGGGTCTTTGTGCCTGGTTACCTGATCCCATCAATACCTCATGATCACACAGGCTGGTGTGCTTCTTCCATGTGGGCTTTGCTGCTTCTCAGCTAGATGGCCGCTTGTTTATCTTCACGCCTTTAAGACCCCAGATGCTGTATCTTTTGATAGCTGGGTACCATCAACTTTCTTCACCACATTTACTTATGCACCCATTTTGTCTTCAGTGATCCTGTCAGGGAAGGTAAGCATCACAATGTCGGGTTATTAGAACAAAGTGTTCTTGCATGGAGGGAGTACTTGAGTACTTACCCCAATGTCTGTTCACTACCTTAATACTTAACAGATAAATATATGTACCTAGATCTATTTCCTTATCATTATATATAAATATATTTACTTATGTACATGCCTGTATTTAGACCTCTATAAATATCCTTTGCCTCCTAGTTTTTTTCACTCTTTCCTTTTGTTCCCCCTATCATGTTCAGCCATCATTCAGGTTTCAGTAATTCCTCTCAGCTATACTGCCCTTGATCAAGCCCCACCAGGCATCCTCACCATCTATTTTAGATCACTTGTTGTTCCCTATGACAAGGTGATTTTAGGATAAGTTAAAAGTGAACCCACAATGATGGTTGTAAACCAAGCCCAGAGTTCAGGCATTCCAAATTACAATAGGATGAGAGTTATGTCTCCAAGGTGCATAGCTTTACCTGATCTATTTGAGTATATTGAAAGGAAAGTCAGACATCTGGCATTGAGTTTGCAGATGAACTAACAATTTAACTGAACAGTCGGCTGTTCACATACCAACCCAGAGGCACCTACCTCAAAAGTAGGTCCTGGCATGATGAACTGCTTCAGAAAGATTACAATCTTGAAAATCTTCTGGAGCAGTTCTACTCTGCACATATGCGTGGCCATTATGAATTGGAATGGCAACAGCCAACAACAACAACAACACAGAAAGCTAAGCAAATGCAAAACAATACAGTTATTAACTATAAGAAAAGCAAAGTCTCAAGAGCAATCATGGGGTGCGTTTGACTTAGTTGTGGATATTATGTATAGTCATTGTAATAATGTAAATAACAAGTAAAACTAATGGTAGAAGACCGATGAAAGGAGTTGTAATAGAACTAAACCATTATCTTTACTAACAGGAAGTCAGTAGATACAGGCATACCCTGTTGTATTGTACTTCGTTTTATTTAACTTTGCAGGTACTGTTTTACAAATTAAAGGTTTGTGGCAACCCTGCATCAACAAGCAAGTCTACCAGTGCCGTTGTCCAACAGCATGTGCTCACTTTGTGTCTCTGTGTCACATTTTGGTTATTCTCACAATATTTTAAACTTTCATAAGGCTATCTCTTAATTGACTACAGCACAATAAAGATCATTTCTGTATGTACTGAGAAACCAAAAAGTTCATGTGCCTTGCTTTGGTAGTACTTTATTACAGTGGTCAGGAACCTAACCTGCAAAATCATTTTGATATGCCTGTACTTAAAAGGAGAAATTAAGAAATAACTGTACAGGCTTGCTATTTAGAATATAGTGGGGAAAAACCAGAAGAAACTTTTTTTGAGTTGAAAGTTGTTGCCTCAGGGGGGGAAACTTGGGGTTGGGTAAGTTTTCTTGCAAGAATATTTCGCTTTAAACTGCATATCTGATTTAAAATTTTTAATTTGAAAAAGATGGACTCTTTAATCACAGAATGCTCTTTTGTACAGAATATATGTAATTTACAGTCATTCTAAATCTGCTAGGGTTCTGAGAACTATCATTTTAGCCTGTAGAGTCAGCAGAATGGGATGGAATTTTGGCTGCTGAGGTGGTAATAATTTATAATAGTCTGGTGGCTGATGTTATCCTTAGTTGTAAATATTCATTTCGTTGTCGTGCTAACAAATGGGGATTTTAAAACATGACAGATTAAAATATATTACATTTCAGTATCTCAGATGTACTTAAGTGTTTAGTTTTCCTCTGTGTTGTCAACACTTGACATTGAGAATTGACTGCACCATCCATGCTTTTCTGCAGCTATTCAGTTGAGTGATGCTTCCGATGTTTTAATATTTCCTACCCACTTCTTTTATTTGGCTTTTAAAATACTGAATGCTTATTATAGCCCTTAAGAAGAACAGGTGCTCTGATAATAGCAAAGATACCACCTGATATTTCACTGTACCTGATTATAAGGTGCAATGATTCATTTGAATCCAAATGCATTTTGTTTTTTTAACCACCAATTTTTTAAGCCAAGATGTTGAAGCTTGAAATGGAGATTAAATGCTAAATAAATTAATCTTCTAATAAATAGGTTTTTATTTTTCCAAGTTTATTTTCTGTATATGGCATCAGAGTACAAAAGCAGATTTGGAGTAAAACTAGTTGGGTGACATTCAAGTGTCTTAACCTCCCTAAACCTCAATATTCTCATCTGCAAAATGAGTATAATATTTGCTTTGTAACAGTGACAATTAATGACGCATTCTAGTAAGAACAAAACAAAAATTACAAACCCTGGTTTGCTCATAGCAATTACTGTTTGAATACCTACTGAATACTAAGTATTATTTTTGCTACTTGCTTTCGGTGTCTTTTCAAAGACAGTTACAAACACAATGGAGGGCTTTCTCAGGTTTATAGTTATGCATTAATGTTTTCCTTTTGACCATCAAGTAACAAACCTTATTTTATGTCACTGTTTTTAAACAAAAGTAGAACCCTATTTATGCATTTCAATCCTTCTATCCAAAGAGCCCTAGTGGCATTGTTGGGTAAGCATTGGACTGCTAGCTACAAGGTTGGTGGTTCAAACTCACCAGTTACTCTTAGGGGAAAAGATGAGGCTATCTGTTCTCATAAATATTTTCAGTCCTTGAAAGATTTTCAGCCTTGGGAACACTATGCAGGGTCACTGTGAGTCAGAGCGAACTTGTTGGCAGGGGGTTTCAACTTAAATTTATTTTTAATCACTGATTTTCAAAGTGTTATTTCTTTAAAGGCAAAAGCTTATTTTTACTATGCAAATGTTCTGTTCCTTATAAAACAGGCAGCGTAAAATATTTCAAATGGTTTTGTGATCTTAGACACTTTGAGTAAGGATAAACATTTTGCTGGCATTATAGTTAGTAATTATTTAATTTCAGATAGTATTTTTAGGACTTGGGGAGTCATTTGTTTTTAAATTCTACATTATTTCATGTTTTCTATAAAGAAGCATCTGTTTTCATTATAGATTCCATCACTAACCTTTCTCCTGGTATGCCTTTCTTGTTAATTTGATCATTCAGTGGTTCACTGACTGTCTAGGTTTTTGTGCTTTTATTGTTGTCAGGCTGTACTCTTAGATTCTGAGGATAACATGATCCTGATGTGCCCCAAAGAGCCTCAATCTGGTCATGGGATCACTTGTTTAAACAAAAATTATAATGCAGTAAGATAAGTACTGAAATAAAATATGTCATTATTTTAATCTGACCTATTGGGCAAAGGCTGACAAAAGCCAAACCTTGAGGAAACAGCTTCCCAGATCCAAGTGGTAGGGAAAGAACTCATATTTGTAGGATTAAGCCTGAGGTTTATTCCAACTCATAATAACCTCCTGTGTTTGATTAACCAGCTGTTACTGCATAAAGAGCTTTAATCTATTTTTTGCTCATGATGTTTGTTTTGCCACGTGCATAGAACTAGAAGGTTGAATTGTCAGAGTAAGGGACAGTGTAAGTAGTGTGTGCAGTAATAGTTGGTTAATCCAACACTTGGGGTCCTTATTACTAGGGATCTGCTCAGGCTTTAATACAGCAAATAAGTGAGCTTACGTGTTTCTGTCCCAACACTGAGTCATGGCAGAGGTGGTGAAGTCTTTGGGGGTAAGCCGGTTTCTTCTTTGGGGATTCTGTTTTACTCCACTTTAGAGTGGGAGTCCTGATACATAGTATCTTGATATACAGTGAGTACAGCTTAAGTTCTACCATTTTTCAGAGTTGTGGAGACTGTAATACTCAATAGGCACCCTGGTAGTGTAGCGGATATTTGTTGGGCTGCTCATTGCAGGGTCAGCAGACAGGGGCAACTTTCCACTCTGTTAAAGAGTTACAGTGGTTTTACCCTGTCCTTTGGGGTCACTGAGAGTCGGCGTCTCCTCGATGGAATTGAGAGGGAGAGAGACAGAGACAGACTTGATAATGTTACTTATATGTGGCCTACTAGTGTTTGAAGTGAGACACTTCATGTGTGTTTATATATACTTTGGATTTCCCCCCAAGAAAACAAAATACTCTTGAAGGCATATTATCTTTTACCATCACTTAACACTTTCCTAGAGACTCAGTAAGTGCTTGATAAATATTTGACTGTTTCATCGGGGAGAAAAATGGTACAAAGTACTTTTATCTTATATCCGTTTAAAATTCTCCATGAAAATCAGTGCACTGATGAATATAAAGTTTTAATTTTCTTTGGTTATTTATGTTACTAATCAGATTTTAAGTTTGAAAAAACTAAGATTGATGGTTAATGAGCTACAAACAAAAGGATTATAATAAAGTGTTGTTTAGTATTATAAATTATATTGTTGGAATACTAATTTTTTACATTTTGTTTTGTCCCTAAGCAAATGGTTATGAGCCTTAGAGTTTCTGAACTCCAAGTATTGTTGGGCTACGCTGGGAGAAACAAGCACGGACGCAAACACGAACTTCTCACAAAAGCCCTGCATTTGCTAAAGGCTGGCTGTAGTCCTGCTGTCCAAATGAAAATTAAAGAACTGTATAGACGGCGATTCCCCCAGAAAATCATGACACCTGCGGACTTGTCCATCCCCAACGTACATTCAAGTCCTATGCCAGCAACTTTGTCTCCATCAACCATTCCACAACTCACGTATGATGGTCATCCTGCATCCTCACCGTTACTCCCTGTTTCTCTTCTGGGACCTAAACATGAACTGGAACTCCCACATCTTACATCAGCTCTTCACCCAGTCCATCCGGATATAAAACTGCAAAAACTGCCATTTTATGATTTGCTGGATGAATTGATAAAACCCACCAGTCTAGGTAAGGTTTTATATAATGCTCATTTGGTTACTTTGGGCAGGGTGGGATACATTTTCATTTTAGACTTTTAAATTTGATCCAGTTTATTATTCACAGTGAAATTTATGTTTGATGTAGATAAAATGAAATCTATACAAACTATCTTTAAGCCAAGGGAAAGTAAATGTAATCAAGTTTCTAGCAATGGTGCTGATGCAATATTAAGTATTAAAACGTGCTCAAGACTTAAAACTCTTAAAGTACAATGTTTTAGATTATTCATTTATTGATTAACATTTAAAAATAAATTTTATAAATTAAAGCCAAATAAATGACTACTAGCTTTTGAATTTAGTTCTTAATTTTCAGAGACTGATGACAGAGAGTTTCGGTTATTAGAATGTGTAAATTACTTAAATTATTTTGAAAGAAGATTTGTGAGGTATTTTAACTTCAAATGATTTTTCCCCTCAAGTATAAATGTATGATTATATGGGCATATGGTCATGGTTATATAATTTGAATACTTGATTGTGCATATTTTGTATTTGATTATAGTATTTGGCATATTAGAATATGATGTATTATTAACCAATTTGTAATTTCATGGCAATTACTATAATACTAGTTTATTTTAATGTAGATTATAACTGACCCCATTATGATCTTGAATGCCTTTGTGTAATATGTTTACAGTACTCATTCTCCATGCTGGTTTGTTGTTTACACCTGTGTGCTACAAACTGTGGCTGGCAGGCCAAATGTAACCTACAGTCTGTTTTTGTGTGGCTCTGTAATGATTTTAAGATGGTTGTTTAAAACAAAGAATATACAGCAGAGATGAGTATTCTTGCAAAGCCTAAAATATTTACTGTCTTGCTCATTCCAGAAAAAGTTTCCCAAACCTTATTACAAATAATGAAACATTTCAATTTGGGGAATTAGTGAGTGTTGAATTACTGAAATTTTGCTTTGAACTGGGAAGAATTTGTCTTTAATTATATTTAACTACACTCACCTGAGTAAGTGAAGACTTGTTGCTCGCTGCTGTTGAGTTGACCCCCTACTCAACAAGACCCCATGCACAGCAGAATCGGAGCATTACAGTTCACAGGGCTTGCATTGACTGACTTTGTTTCAGCACTGGATTGGCAGCCCTTTCTTTCAAGTCAGTGTTAGTCTGGAAGCTCTGACAAAAACTGTAGCATGATAGGAACATTCAGAATGACTACTGATAGTTGAGTGGTGGATGAGCTTGAGGGATATTGGCTGAGAATTAAATCTACCCAAATCTAATGCATGAAATGGGAAAATTCTGCAACTAAACTACATCACTCCTCTCAAGCAAGGATTATAAAAATCATGTTCAAGCAATATGAATCTCATTTCCTGTTGCTGTAACAAGAAAAGACAGCTAACACATTGAAAACAGTGAAAATGAAAATGCCCAAGTCTTTACTTAACAGTTTATTTATTTTCATCAATAAAAATATCAAGTCTAAAGTAATTAGAATGCAAACTGACACACATATTATTATATTGGATGGTAATTGGTTAATTTAAAACATTTAAAAATTATTATACTAAGTTGCTTTGTATATGTAGGTATTGATGCTTTGTATGTGTGTATAGTAGGTATTCATTTCTAATTGGCTGTACCACTTATCTTTTTACGGTTTCCTGCCTGCGTAACTATGATAGTTTATCATAGTTGATATTTTATATTGATATTGCTTTAGTACTTACAGGTACTTTATCCTTAAGAATTTTTAATATATTGGTAATAGATAAAATTATTTAATTTCTCTCAAAATGTAATTAGGAGCTTGTTAAGACTAAATTTTTAAATGTCTTATTACCATGACTATTTTTGAACTATAGGCAATACATTTTTCTATTTTTAATCTTTATTTCAAAACTGCTAGAAGAGCATCCATTGTCATCAAGCACATTTGTACATTTGTTGCCATCATCATTCTTAATACATTTTCTTTCTGCTTGAGCCCTGGTATCAGCTCCTCATCCCCCCCCCATTATCCCTTGATAACTTATAAATTATTATTTTTGTCATGTCTTATATTGTCTGACGTCTCCCTTCACCCACTTTTCTGTTGACCGTCCCCCAGGGAGAGGGTTATATGTAGATCCTTAACATCGGTTCCCCCTTTCTACCCCGCCTTCTCTCCACCCTCCCGGTATCGCCACTCTCACCACTGGTCCTGAATGGTTCATCTGTCCTGGATTCCGTGTTTCCAGTTCCTCTCTGTACCAGTGTACACCATCTGGTCTAGCCAGATAAAGTAGAATAGGGATCGTGATAGTGGGGGGGAAGAAGCATTAAAGAACTAGAGGAAAGTTGTATATTTCATTGTTGCTACACTGAACCCTGACTGGCTCGTCTCCTCCCCGACACCCTTCTGTAAGGGAATGTCTAGTTGCCTACAGATGGGCTTTGGCCCCACTCCGCACTCCCCCTCATTCACAATGATACGATTTTTTGTTCTTTGATGCCTGCTACCTCTTGATCACACAGGCTGGTGTGCTTCTTCCATGTGGCCTTTGTTGCTTCTGAGCTAGATGGCCACTTGTTTACCTTCAAGCCTTTAAGACCCCAGATGCTATATATCTTTTGATAGCCGGTACCATCAGCTTTCTTCACCGCATCACTGGGCTTTTTTGAGGGGTAGGGTGTGATGATTTAAAAGCGGTGTCACATACACACAAAAAATCATGAGGTTTTGTCTCCCCCCCGCCCCCCACTTTATTGTGGTAAAGAAACAGCCTTTATTAAATATTTTTAACTTTTATTTTGTAGTTTCTGAGAATATACACGGCAAACATAACACCAGCTCAACAATCTTTTACACATACAATTCAGTAGCATGTATTTCATTCTTAAAGTTGTGCAGCCATTCTCACCCTTGTCTTTTGAGGTGTTCCTCATGAACACAGACTATCTGACTCTTAAGTTTCCTGTCTAATCTTTCCAGTTGTTGTCAATTTGATGCCAAATACACAGATTTAAAAGTGCATAAATTTATCAGGGCAGATTATAAAAATATCAGTTAAGCCAAACTATATTGTTTGGTTTCAAGAACACCTCAGAAAATATTTTTGGCCTAAGGTTTAAAATTTATTTTAGGGCCATAGTTTCAGGGCTTCATTCAGCCTTTAAAGCTATAGAAAATAAGGAATCTGAGAACTTGAAATTCTGTTATTTATTTCTCCCTTTTGATCAGGATTATGCTATAGAATCCTTCAAAATATTCAGTAATTGTAACAAGGAATTTCTCATGAAATTGCTGTGATATAAAATCACATAGTGAATGGTAATATAGGTTGCTTTTGAAAGTTAAAGTGGTATGTATATAGATTTCTAATGTCTTATTTTTTTGAAACTAAACAACAAATACTTTGATTATGCATAAAAAGATCTCACCAGAAAATAACTTGTAGACTTTCTTGACTCAGTCAATATACTTGGGAAGGGAATGTTCAATGAATATAGAAAATACTTAAGGAAAATAGATTCTGAGCAATGTGCAAACTTTAGGATGAGTTATTTTGAAGCTCTGTTGGTTTTTATCGATACCATATATACTCGAGTATAAGCCAGGTTTTTCAGCACATTTTTAATGCAGTTTTTGTGGTAAAATTAGGTGTCTTGATGGATATTCGGGTCGGCTTGTGCTCGAGTATATATGGTACATTAATGTTATTAAAAGACTACTTTTTCTACTGTATTAAAGGAAGTAATTACTTAATCACATAATTTAGTTCCCTGAAGGGCTACTTTCGCCGATAGAACATTTATTTGTTTTGAATCCGGTAAGACCATGTTTTCTGAATTTAAATGGCATCCAGATTCTATTCTCTTTATTTCTAAAGACATACTACAATTAAATTGATCCTATTTGTGTTACAAACTCTTCAGAACTTAATTTTGACCTGGAGTCATTAGTTCTAGATTGCTAATTAGTCTATTCAGCTAATTACTCGAGATTGTGACATGTAAATTTAACTTCTATTTTTGCCATCCATTTTGTCCTCCTGCATTTGATTTAAAGAAATGCCAAGACACTTAGATTTAAGCGAAATGTTTTCATGCATGGCTCATGCTCCTAACTAAAAGTAATAGTTTAATAGTAACATTTTTTATGCAATCATTCTTAACCCATCCTTAAAGAAAATTTATTTCTTTAAACATAAGTAATTTTTGTTTATTTTGAAACCATAAAAAAAGAATCTTTTCATTTCCATAATTAGCTAGAAAAATTAAGAGATAAAGTAAAAGACAGTTGTAAAATAAACGTAATGAGTCATTATAAACTTTGCCCATCAGTGTTAAAATCCTATCCTAGGTTCTGCAGAATATTTGAAATGCTCTCATAAACTTTTCCATTAATATTTCTTAGTTTCTCCCTCACATTTATCCTTTCCCTCATGTACAGTCCATTTCTGGGGTGTTTTTACTCTCATAACATGTGATTGCCTTCATAGTTTCCAAAAGGGCAAGGACTCTGCAATATTCATCTGTCTATTCCTAAGAATAGCTGCTTGTGAAATTGTTACATTTAAGCTCACATTGAATACAATAGATCGACCCTTTTCCCAGATTCAACAAATTTCATTTGTTTTGCTATCCAAACATAACGTGGATACCATACTCTACCACCATAAATAGTGGCTTTCAGTGAGGAATGGAGTGGGAAAAGGGGCATTCCCTCAATTTGCACTCAATCTTTTAATTGATAACTTGGAATTTTACTGGACTTCATTAAAATTTTTTCTTAATCTTAATATCCCTTTAATGTTAGAATCCTTAGAAAATGCTTGCTGATTTTAGAGACAAGTTTGTAAAGTATTTTGGTTAGAAGAGGAGGCTTCTAAAAGTTCATGGAAAAAATGGAATTAACAGATAATGAACTATGTTCACAAACTTCCAAAGCACCCTTGTATTCTTTTAGTGCAGCGGTTCTCAACCTGTGGGTCGCGACCCCTTGGGGGGGAGTGTCAAAGGG